ATTGGGCAGTTTGGCCCAAGGCCCAAACCCCCTTCATTTCATGAGCTCATGAAGCCAATTTTGAAGGATGCATAAAGGATGTGAAATATATTTTGACTTCTCAAGAAGAAGGGTGGGAGAAGTATGGGGTGACCATCATGTGTAGTGGTGGTCCAATGGAAAGTCTCGGACTCCTTTAGGTACTCCTTTTGTGAAATCGATTTATGCATCATACAAATCACATGATGCAACTTATTTGTGTGGATGGATGGATGAAATTGTAGATAATGTGGTACTTATTATCACCTACAATGGTAATTCCTTTGCAACTAGGCATCTCTTGACTTTGAAGATGAGGCAAATGTTTTGGACTCCTTGCATCTCATTATGCTGATCTCGGGCTTGAGGAAATAGGGAAGACATCTATGGTTAATGGGGCAATCACCAAAGCTAAGTCTATTCATTAATTTAATCTATAACATACTATAGTGAGAGAGTTTACAAAAGAGAGAGAGAGTGAGAGCAGGAGTCACTAGATTTGCCACTACATTTCTCACTCTTCAATGCCTATGTAAGCAAAATGATGGCCTAAGGAGCATGTTCACTTTAGAGAAGTAGACTGGAAATTGGTGGTGAAGGCATCAAGTTGGGAGAAAAGCAGAGAACATTGTTTTTAATACTTCCTTTTGGACCCAATGCTACTATTGCTTGCAAATCTCTCACCCTTTGGTGAAAGTGCTTCGATTAGTGCATAGAGATGCAAAGCCCGCCATGGGTACATTCATTAGGCCATGATTGAGGCGAAACAATCCCTTATTGATGCTTGGCGGAATGGAATAAAGAAGTCATGCCATCACAGTCAAATTCAGATACTCACTTTCCCATTCGTCATGGATGGTGGTTCTTCACCTTCCTTGTGATGTAACCAATTTTCTCCATCTTCCTATGAACATTATGGCAGATTGAGACCATTCTAAGTAGTTTGTCCCATCTAATTATAGTGATCATCAATCTTGGGTGCTCAAGTTGACTGCTTCCAAGGGAAATATTGTGCTTGATTTCTAACTTTTTTTTCCTCTCTCTCTCTCTCTCTCTCTCTACTAACTCAACTCTATCTTTTCTTGATGTATTGCTTTACTAGTTTTCAAAGCTCTAAAAATTTTCCTTTTTTTTTGGTTCTTTTGGACAAGAAGGATATGGAATATAATTGGTTTTCTGGAATGGGGTAAAAAAATTTTGAGAGAATGAGGTCTGGGGTTTCCTTTTCTTCCTGTTTTGCATGAAAGACAAAGAATCTGGGATGAACTTACCCAGTAAAATAATGAAATGATATTACTTGAAAAATATGGGCTTGCTGATATATCTCAATTTAAATCCCAAGAAGAAAGGAAAATCTTGATTCTAGGGTTGCAAAAAAAATTGACATCATAGGATTTCTAGGTCTGCTCTGATAACATGTTAAATTTAAGAAAGAAAAGAGGAAAATAATGAAAAGAGGAAAAGAGCATTCAGGCACAATGATTGGGTAAAAAGTATAGATGTATATCTCATTGATCAAATCAGGGAACAATGTGCCATATATATGTAAACATGCACATAGATAGTAGCTAAGTCGAAATATATTATGATGCTATACAAAGGACCTTAGTAAGCTTTAGTACATACTGAGTTTCAAAAAACAATGTGTAGGTTAGCTTCGTTTGTTATTCTGGGCCTGACTTCAAGGGTCAAACCCTTAACCTTCAGTAAGCAATCCAGGGGTGTCTCCCATAGATAAAGCCTAAGGGCCAATTGGCTGATGATCTCACAAGAGAACTATCCATTGAGAGCAGTAGTGATCTCACTAGAATGGATATTTTTTCTTTCTTTTTTTTTGGGTGGTAGGTAAACATGGCTAATTAGGAATTCATTAGATTGCTTTAGGTGCATCATAGTTAGATATTGTTATGTTGGGGATACGTACCTTGTCACTCTTTATTGTTATGTTCTTTTCTTGTGGTTGACATTGTTAATAATTCTAATTAGTATTATTGTAATTCTTCTATTTGTATGTTGTATTTTAATTAAAATATCCAACACACTCTAATTCATGTCAACAAATCAATGCTTTATGAGCATTGTGACTTTCTGCACAAGCTGTATTGCTACTCATGGATAGAGTTATCTTTGTTATGATTTAATGTTTGCCTTAGTGGTTCTATTTACAGCATACATAACAAGAATAAAAATGAAAATGACAGTATCTCCTAATAATACACTTGTCCTGTAGAATAATGGAGTTGTAAAAGGGGATCACTGCTAGTAGTCCTATAAAGCTTTAAGAAAAAAACAGAAAAAAAGACAGAACTTACAATAGGATACAAGTGAAAGAAAGCAATTCAAAGGTCATACCTGACAGGATCGAATTCAGATTTCCTTTAGACATATATTCATAGACAAGAATCTTCTCTTTGCCTTCCTCAGAGAATCCTATCAAGGAGGCCAAATACTTGTGATGAACTCTCATCAACAGTTTGACCTGTATTTCCAAAGTCCAAATATTTATCCTTTTTCTTCGTCATCATCATCAAAGCATTATCCCAAAGTCCAAATATTTATCCTGATTACAAGTAAGAATATGTGAATGTAAAACTAGATTTAGTTTCTTTTCTCATACAAACCTCATTAGAGAATTCTTTGGCTCCTTGATGTGATTCTTTGGACAAAATCTTGACAGCAACTTCACGGCCATCATCCAGGCGCCCATAGAAGACAGGCCCATATCCTCCCTTACCAATGATCTTTTCATAGTCATTGGTTATTTTAACAATCTCAGAGTGTGTAAATGTTTGAGCACCATCTGAATTTGATGAAGTTTTTCTTTTTCTCATTCTTGTTCCTGGTGCAATTAGTGAAGAGCAAAACAATCTGTGGGACAAATCAATAAGATAGATATTTCCACTTGACTTTTCTATTATTTTAGAAATTCTGCGTTAGCTATTCAGGCATATTCTTTGTCATGGTCTATTTAGTCTCTACTCCTAGTCTGTTTCCTCAGCTGTTTCTAAATTCTCACGGTTTTTAGAAATGATCCCAGTACAGGTTATTAAGATACCAAATCAATATTATTTTCAATATAGGAGACAAAAATTAATACATCTGGGAAATAACAGTACCTTTAATTTACTAGGAAATAAGTTTGTGCATAGACATGGATGCAGCAGTCACAAAGGCTAAAAAAAACCTGGAACCTTGTCTTGGGGTCATCAAGAACAAAGGTCTGAGAAGTTAGGGCAGATACATTGGCTTTTGATCTTGAAAAATTAGTTCCTTTTACTGGCTGATTTCTTCTAAGATAATCAATTGTATTTTGTCGTGTGTTATACCAAATTTCATTGATTTGACTTCATAAGCAATTGTGGTGGGTTTGTTGCCCCATAGATGGGGATTGTTTCTTTGAAATTTTAGCCCTGGGCTTACTGCTTAAATTCTTACTATCGGAAATAGACCCAACTATGATATATGATGCCTGTTTTGTCATTCTTTTTATTTTTGAGAAACTGTCTAGTCAGTGTGGAGAAAATTGTTGAACCACAAAAGGAAACATTTTCTTCAAAGGTTACTTGATTCTTTTGGAGGAGACAACTGGGTATTCCAGAGACATATCAATTTGAATTACTTCTTGTTTACTTCCCCAAAGATGTGTTCTTGTTGAATCCCAAACCATACACGATCGATGAGGATGCTATGCTCTGATTTCACTTTTGAACGATGTAAAGATGAGCATAAGATTTGTTATACATTACTATAACCAATAGAATGAAATATGCACCTCTGAAAGAAAAATGTTGCTTATCAAAAGGCGAAAATAATTATATTTGTACATAAGCTATGCCATTGCTTATGTTCAAGCAGTGATATCAGTGCCACCTCTGTTAGCTGCCTTTATCTCACCCTCCGGATCTAGATGATCTGGCAGCACGCATCTCAGGTTTCTAGGGAACCTGGGACTTGAGATCGCTGTCTCAAGAACCTTTCTCAAGAGCAAGGGCAAGTATACCAACCAATGAAATAGGAATTTAAGGTGGGACTTATCGGGTTGGCTCGTCTCATGGACAACCATGGTTTGTTTTCAAGAGATAAGGGTACAGTCAACACTTGAGAAATCATAATTGATGGGTTGGTTTCAGTTAAGGTGGAGTTACCTTTTTGCTAGAATGCCTAGGGGCTTTTAGTATTGAGCAAATAAACGAGTTTCCCAGGGTTTATTTTTCTACCTAGATGGTAGTTGGTTATTGCAAGTAGATAAATCTATTTTCTCTCTAGTGAATTGTTGAATCAAAACAACAATGTACTCCCAACCTCATAATAACAACCCTTCCTTCTCTATCACAATCCTTATCTATTTTAATAATAACTTTTGCAGCCCTATAACCTCCACAGGGTTGTCTTTTGGATTATAACTTATTTGTAAAACCAATGCTTCTTCCCCAACACAGAATGCTCATAAACATACAATGGTACAAAAACTTTTAGTGTACACATGAAAATAGTATGAAACACAAGAAATATTTTCCAAGTAGAAAACTTCTCCATTTTTCTCATACTTTTGAGGTACTAGTAAATAACAAAAAAGAAGAATCCGTTAATCTTAAGAGCTCATATTTACGTGTCTTGACCAATTTGAAGCATGCTTTGGGAATACGTGTTATTGTTTTGTGTAAAACTTGAGCATAGGTTATTTTGTGTAAAAATTGTTTTGTGTAAAAATTGTTTTGGTGTTCTTGGGTTATTTGGGACTTCGGAGTGGCATAATTGAAAGAAAGAGTATATACTAGATGCGTAAGTATAGTAGATATACTAGATGTTGGTAAGTGAACTGAAGCTTACCATTTATTTTCCTTGTCGTCATTATCAGAACAAATGCAAAGGCAAAGAGCAAGACGATTGTTGCACTAACAGATATCACCACAATTAACACGTTCTTCTTGTTCTTCTTTGGAGTTGGTTCAGAGGAGTTGGGTCTCAGAAGGCTGGGATTTTGGAAAATGCTGCGCACGTTAAGTTAACAAACGAACAAGAAGTCAGTTATAAGTGATTCTCTCAAAGAGTAAAATAAAAATGTCAGTATATCAATGCTAACCTTAATAGAAGTACACCACTGTCGTTTTTATCTATTAATGTGCTTGGAACCAGCCCAGTTAGATTGTTTTTTGACAAATCCCTATAAACAAACCATATGCATGTCCATGAAAATCATATTTCTTTTCATTTCCCCTTTATTGCACTCTTGAAAGATTGGATTTATACTTACAATGACTTTAGTTTGGTCAGATGAGCAAAACTTTCTGGTATGGGACCTGTCAGCTGATTGTTTGATAGGTTCCTGTATCAATAATAGCAATAAAACATTTGAGAATATAATTTCCTGTTTGATTATGTAAAATACTATAGTTTCAAATATCATGAATATAGCCAGAATTTCTTTGAAAATCAGTTAAATAACCTTCTTTTTGTGGAATGCCATAATGTTCCCTATTCACAAAAACATCAAAAGAGTCCATTGCGTTTTATAATACAACAATCCATGCCTTTATTTGAAAAATTAATGCATTGCATGGCTTTGGACTGCTGAGGATTAGCGTAGGCATATAGTTGGAGTTTTTTAAATATGTGAATTAAGATGGTAATATAGTGTCGAGATTATTTTCTTAGTTCAAACGTCAAAGTTTCTTTGATAGAGAACCCTGTCCAAAAGGGTGAATCTTGTTGCTTTCCTCCAAATGGAGTCTCTTTCATTTTTCTCATGTGGGGGGATCCTATATTGTATAAAGTTTATATAAGGTTGTCTCCAGTCAGGTGAATCTGCCTGAGAGCAAGAGACATGTCGTACAATGGTGGCCGATGCATCTTAGGATTGATCATTGATGGGGTATTTGGTATTGTGAGCTCCGGCAATTGATATGCTTCCACTGATAGAACGAGCATCTTCTTTTCTTGGACCCAAACTTGCAGCATTTTGGAAGAAGTGAGAGTTATTGATGCTCCCAGTTTGCCCAATGCATCGGCTTGCCTATTCGGGCTTCATGGTAAAGGGTGAGGGATAGAGTCTTCAAATTATGTATCAGACTCATAGCTTGTTGGTGATAGTGGAGCAACTTCTTTTTCTTCCCTTGGTAACTTCCGTCAATTTGGCAGCTTACTAATTGTGAGTCCCCAAATATCAAAAGCATGTCAATCCTGAGTGCACGGGCCATTCATAACCCAAGGATAAGAGCTTTATACTTGGCTTGATTTCCTGAGCATTTCCTCTTCAAAGAAAAGGAGTAAAGGGGGAGTCCTTACTCGGGATTAACAAAAAGGATACCGATACGGGTTCCCTTGGCCTGAGAGGCACTGTTGAAATATGTTTTCCAATTGGGACACTCTTCTACTGCACTTAGTACTTCTTCATCTAATGGAAACCCTTACAGAATCGAACGTGCAACCAAGAAATCGGCTAGAGCCTGTCCTTTGACAGCACGTTGGGGAAAAGAAGTGATATTATATTCCAACAAAAGAACAACCATTTGGCCAAACACTCCGATAGCATGGGTAGGCTTATTAAGGTCAAAATAGTTTTTGTAGGAATAAAAAAGTTAAGTGAACTTTTATAGAAGTTCTCTATGAAGCATCCTACAGGTTCTGTGGATAGATATTTTTGTGCTCAAGAAGATTACATACCCTTTCGGTAAGGTAAAATGTTTTTTCTTGGTAAAGATGTCTAAAATCTGTTGATGAGAAATAACATAAAACAATATTACATGGCATTCATGGTAAATTAAAAATGAGTTATTCTCCTAGTCTAGCTGAGTACTGTTTGTAACACGGATGGAAAAATCAATGTTGAAGTAGCTGTTGCATAAATAATCTATACTGGTAATGAACTTAAGTGAACAACCATTAGCAAAGGAGGAACAACTTTCAGTCCAACTCCAGCCCCGTGATTCATGCCTCTTGATGGTCATGTAACTCAGTAACTGCTTTAGAATTGGAGGTGTTGTTGTTCGTGTTTTGCTCCTCTTCACTCTCTATGGCCCTTCAATTACTGGCGCTCGGCCATTTCCTTTTCCTGGCTTACCCAGTTTACTTCTAGAATTTCTAATCCCACACACCCTCGTTCCAATATTTTGTGTGGTCCTAGACTTTGATATCGTGTTATGCTACATTCTCCCTCTCCTTTTTATTTTTACTACAGTCCCTGAGGCTGGCCCAGCTTTTTCAAGCACAATATGGTATTTGTACTTGCCTCCATCTTAGCTACTTTATCTCCTGTCTGGCTTCATGTACTTTGTTTAATAGGGAAGATATTCCTAACATATTCGTAATATATATATTGTATTGGTTACACATTGATTGATAAAAACATTTTATTGATTTTGGTGCTATGTGTTATTTTTAATGACATTATTCATTTTTCAGCTGTAAACCTTGGAGGTTTCCCCCTGTTAAGTTGTAATTTCTTAGTATCTTTATTCTGATACAATTTTGCATGTAGAGAAGAAAAGGGCAAGTCCTGAGGAGGATCGTACAACATGAGTTTTTATGATGGGCACAGAGATAGGATTCCCTGAGGTGGCTTTCTTTTCTGAATTGTATGACTAGTGAAGGGGGTCTCTTGGAGGTCTTCTATGAATTTTACAAGAACTCTCAAATCAAGAAGGTGATGACCAAATGTTTCATCATCCCATTACCTAAGGTGGAAGGGGCATAGACTTGGCCTATTAATTTTGGGGGTAGTGTAAAAGATCTTGGATGGTATTATTGGTTTGAGGTTAAGGGAGGTTCCAGGATTCTTTGTATCCCATTAACAAAGTGTCTAAGTGAAGAAGAGAAAGATATTGGAGGGCTAAGGATTGTTTAAGAGGTCAAATCTTGGTTAAATTCTACAACTGACGGGTTTTGGACCCTTTGATCACTTGTATGAGGTTTGGAACTCGTAAAGGAGATGGATGATAGAGTTATCCATCCATGACATCTTATAAGGTCTATGAATCCCAGCTCGCTTCTTTAGTAAGGAAATCCACTTTTTCCTTTCTTGTTTGATCGTCAGTGTAGCCAATTTGGGTACACTTCAGGGCTCTTTGGTAGCTATGATTGGCATTACTGCCTCTCAACTCCATCTGGCAGATAATATATTGATCGTTTGTCACACATTTCTACCCTTATCAAGAACTTGAGAATGGTCCTCAAGTTCTATGATGTAGTCTCAGACCAATAAATTAACTTACATAATTGCTTGGTAATAGATATCATGTGATGTAATTAGGCGAAGGAGCTCTCCTTTACTTGGATATAGTCATGGGACTAAGTGGCGGAAAGATTATGAAAAGAAATTTTCTCCTTGTATGGGCCACTGCTTGTCCTTGGGTATGACGATCACTTCAAGAATTAACTTAGAGAGAATCCATAAAAGGTCTCATGGAAGCGCAATAGCCAGGATTGCAATTACTTCCATCTAATTATATGGACATAAATTTGCAGACCCGAGGTGTAGGGTTAGCTAAGGATAGGTTCAAAGAGAATATGGGATAACGTTATTCCAACATAAATTTGCAAACCTAATATGTAGGGCTAGCTAAGGATAGGCTCAATATGGGATAATGTTATTTCAATGAGGGAAGGGACGCTGGAACAGGGCATCACAGGTTAGAGCACTATGCTGCATGTTGACCATGTTGAGATATGTTGAGGTGACCTTGGCAAGGCTACACTCATGCTATAGATTAAGTGTATTTTCATAACAAAGTATGTATATACAGCATATGAATGGTATGGTTGAAACTACTGTTGGGGAATCTAGCCATCAATGTGAATTATTTATTCAGGATAGTTTGTGAGAGCCATGTAGCCATACAAGCATTTAACTCAGTTATCCATCAACAGATGAAACACATTGACTTGGAAAATGCATTTGTTAGGGAAAAGGTGACCTCCAAATTCATTGATGCTCATGTAAAGACAGAAATAAACTCACATACATGTAAAAGAAGGCTTTGGTGGAGCCAAGAGTGAATCACATCTTGGGCTAGTTTCAGATCTATGTTATCAGTCCAACATTGAAGCAATACTGTTTGGTTTTTACTGTTAGAAAACAGAGCCATCAAGCTTAAGATCCATATTGATTGGAATGAAAGGGAAAATGTTGAAAATTTTATTTGCCAGCTCGAATATATAACTTCCCCATGTTTGAGTTCAGTTCTCCACAATTGACTGGAGTGAAATTTTAGTGCTTTAGATGGAGGAGTGAGGATGCTTGTTTTCTCTAGGCCGTAAAGCTTGTATGTTCTTTCTAATATATTATGATCTTGTGGCTTTATGTTGGATTCAGGCCCATTTCTCCATGGAAGTTGGTTGTCCTCTCAACCTTGATGGTTTTGAGTTTAAACTACCCAAAAACAATGTGAGCTGATCTATTGTGAAGGTGCTTAGACTGGCTTCCTTCGAAAAGGAAAGAAGTGAGAGAATAGTACTTGTGTGCATGTTGAGGTGCATCTATGTGACTATATGAAGTACTTACAGTGACGTGAGCTCATTGAGGTTGGCTATAGAAGCCGGTATTTCTCCATTCAATCCGCTGCCCGAGATATCCCTACAAACAAAACCCTTTAGTTTCATGCTTTTATTTTCCTTTTGCAAATTTGAGTTTCTTTTCATTGTCTTTTTGGCAAGTGCCAATGTGGAAATCAAGGAAAGCATATGGTGATAAACATGGCTATTTGGCTACATACAGTGTAATAATTCGACGGTTTGGTGCTTCATTGCAGGTCAAGGCATCCCATGGGTAGTCTCCTGGAAGGCATGGGTCTCCAGCCCAACTCCTGTTCGTCAGTCTGAGTTTATCTTTGATATCCATAAGTGCTGCAACTGAAAGGCAGTAGAATTGAAAGAATGGGGTAAAGAGTTGGCTATGCTTCACATTTTAGGACTTTCAAAATGAGGTGGATTGCCAAAATGTAAACTGACATGCTGGCTGTTAAACCTTGTTTAATGGATGGAATTTGGTTTGAATTTCATACCAAATTTTTGAGGGAATTTGACTCAGTAGCTCTAATGTAACTCTACTCTCCTCTCGACCATCAAGTATTTACAATTGAAAACAAATGAATAAGAAAAGAGCTCTCTCTCTCTCTCTCTCTTGTGCATTATGGCCTGGGCATGGCTACATACCATCTCCAGCATCAGTTGCTAATTGAGAGCGTTCATTGGCCACGTATACCTCATACCCATTGAGAATGGGAGGGAAGCTTGATGCACTTGGTGCGCTGAAAGTGACCTGATATTGGCTAAACCGCCTCTCAGGCTCCTTCGTGCACAGCCTCTTCTTAATTGTTGTGTTCACTGTGTCCCACTCTTTTCCATTGAGTTTCACAACCACAATTCGCAAGCCAGGAGCGCTTTCAAAAAAGTAGAAGCAAAAGAAGAAGGGAGAGTCAGGGTCCCATGTCGGCGGGTCCCAGCTAATGCTGATGCTGCCATTTGGATCTGAGGGCCGTGCTGCTGTCTCCATGACAACTGCTGGTGGTTGGTACTCATCGTTGGAGTCAACAAGGAATGAAGAAAAGTTGACAGCGACCCAGTCTATGGAGGTGTAGGGCTCCCATACTCGGTCGTATGGGTCCAACTTGTACCTATACAATAGGCATTGAAAATGGAGATCGGCATTTTATGTTAGAATTTACTTCCTTTGATTTGCCAGAAAAGAACTCTGGATCACATTAAATCATTTATCAAAGAAACAACACATAATTATCAACTTGCAATGAAATTATCACTGAATTTTATATGAAATCTGGCCCATTTGTGTGTGTTGTGTTGAGAGAGAGAGAGAGAAATTTGGTGTTTGTGGGTTACAAGAACTAGAGAGCAAAAAAGTAGAAGGGAAATGCAAGGTTCAAGAAAGTCACTACTAACCTGAGGGCTGTGTGAGATAAGCTCCCTATATCCTTCCTCACCAAGGTGGTTAAAGAACGCGATGCATTGACAACAGGGTACATGGAGCTTGCCAATGGGCGAAGGTCCAATGCAGATATGAATGGCGTTCCAAGATCTGTATTAACGAGACATACTGCCACATAGTCTGTCACGATTGTGCTCATTGTCTCTGTCCATACTTGATCTTGGAAAGTTTGGAGGGTCACAGTGAACCAACGATCCACCCCTAAGTAAAGATCAAATTTTGGAAGCCGGAAGCTGGAATCATAGTTTCCATGCATAAACCATGCTCGGATCAAATATGTACTGTTAGGTGACAAATCAGTTACGTTGTAACAGTTCCTTTTTCCTTGTTTAAATGCTCGAAGTGACTGATACTGAGTTGACGAGGAAGGGTTATCGACGGTCATAGGTTCACCGGTATCGATGTACTTCGCATCAGAAGTATAATGGATGGTTGTGCTTGGATCCTGATACTCATCTCCCAGATACCCACAATCTAGATATATGGATTCTGAACCAAATTCATCATCTTGTCAAATACTTTCAGCCTAGTTATTAACATCTCCATACGGAATAGTTTTCTGTTTCTCTATAATATAAACTAGTGGAATAATTCTACCACAATAGCGCACAAGCATGCACGTGGCCCACAAATCCAGCCATATATGTTGAATATCTATGATTCACATGGTTGAAAAACAATGTGTGACATTTAGAATAAGGTGTCAATGACATGTTAAAACGTCACATCTTTAAAAGATGTTGCATCTTTAAACCGTTGCTATATAGCTCAAGAGAGCAGTTTAGTCATAGCTAAGAAAGTTTTGAGTTCTTTGCTAAACAAGTCGAAAAACATTTCTCTTACATTGCACCTGCATCTTGTAATGAGGTTTACCCCCTAATCTCTGTCTTCTAGTGCAAGATAGTGTTGATTTTATAGGCAGGGTGATTAGCACTAATGCATCGATACGTATGACTTGTGATGATTCACATATGGTTGATGCCTCCTCGCTACATAATTTATCTTTTATATTTAATACTGATGGTACACTTTTTCAGTAATATATTTCCTTTTCACACAACTATATCATAGGCTTTCTACAATGCGAATGGGGATCATCTTCCACCTATTTTCATGATACATACCCCACGTTATAGTGTTTTTTTTTTTTTGAAATATTCTATCCCATGTTATAGCTCCTATAGTTCATTTTGCTAGTTATGCAAAACCAGGTGGTTGAAGTAGTTTTTCTTGAATTGGATCATTCTTTTCATGAGGTGAAAGTCTTATAAGAAGTAGTAGGTGTACAGTGCGGACCACAGGCTATGAAAGAAGAGTTACATGCATTGGTAGAAATTTTACTTACGATTTAATCGTTGTTCATGGAGATATGGCAGCTTTTAGGTGTGTAAAGTGAGGACAGACTGAAATAGTTCCTTGGAGTGATATAAAAGAGTCCACCTACTTGGTACTGTGTTATTTTAAGGAGTATGGTACTGACATCAAGAATATTTCTGCCCCTATAGTTCATATCCCTAATTGTTATAGTTGTTAAGTCATAATAGTAAACAAACACAAAAATGTGTTTTTACATGCAGTCTCCACCTGTCTTTTTATAGTACTCAAATCAGCAAAAGTCAGTGTAAGACCTCCCTTCATTTAAAACTTGTTCCCCACATGCTTGTGTAGATGGAGACTCACATCATTATTTTGGAGGGCCAAGGGACCAAATTGCCTCTCTTAAAAAAGACAATGCAAATCTTTGTTTCTTCTTTATTCACCCCTAACTTAATCCTAGCAGAACTTGAGATTCATACTGAATTGCAAAGCTTAATATGGAAAGTTCAGCTCCATGACCATTAAAATAGAGGAGTAATCTCCTAAGATTCAAAGCACTCGAAAGTTATTTCATTTCTTAGCCATCTTTGTATAGGAAATGCATCTTCCTCTGCTATTACAAACCCCAGGGCTTATTTTATGCTCTGGTCTAAATCCTCAGAGCACATGCAGAGCAAGAACTGAAATCTGAGTAAAGCATAAAATGGAGGATCTAAACTGGCTGCAGGTAAGATGGATAGTGATTACTGATATGAAATAAAGAAGCTTTCAAAGCTTAAGGTTGAGATAGCAGAGGAAGAAATGGCCAATGTGCTAATTCCAGGTTTCTGGCCAGCAAACATTTGTGTAGTTGAAGCTAGACTGTAATCATATCGTATTGAATACAATGGCAGACAAATTTTCAAATTTCATATAATGAATTGGAAATTATCAAATTTCTTATAATGAACTATTAAATTCTCAAGAATTTTAGATAGTTCCTTTTACCAAAATAGGAAATAGAGTACCATATGCTATCTCTTCAATCATTGTTAATAAAGATGGCCAATTTCACTTAAAAGTTTCACAGTGCAAAAATATTTAATGACTTATTTTTATTTTTTATTGACAGAATTTAATGTTTTGAAAAATCATATCAATTTTGTTTCCCTTCCTAATGTTTCTAAACTCTTATTCTTAGACCTAACTATCTAGAACATAGGAGTAGTAGTTGATATTTTACGTCACCCTAACATTAAAGTTGATTTAGAATATGATGTTAATTTTTTTAATTATTTTCTAGTGTTTTTATTTCTGGACACAGTTTTTGTGAGTCAGCCGACTCACCAAAACATGTACATCTCCTCATGCATTAGGCATCCATATTAGAGATTGACTTCAGAAAATGGTGCTTCTACTATACTTACCATGATGGCCGCAAACTACATATGTGAAGCATAGCAATCCCAGGAGATGCATAGACAAAATAAGCGTTGGCCTCTCCATCTCTTCTTGAAAGTAGTATTGAAAGACCTGCACAGTTTTATATATCATGTGTCAAGCATATATTTGGTATATAGTATACTAGTGATTTTGCAATTGTTTTTATTGAAAGAAAGGACTTTGAAAATGAGGCCTAAGGTAAGAGGTGGTCCTGTCATATTTCCTAAAGAATATTTAGCTTTAGAAAAACACAAAAATGGGAAGTTCTGGTTTATTATTTTGGCCCACTTATGGCAACTTTGAAATAGCAAAATTACTCGTGCCGTATGTGCTATAGTTGTAGACACTCAGACTGGATCTTTGGCAGAGATTGAGGGTCATCTCGCATAAACTCCATTCATTTATAAAGATAATTTTCTATATTCAAGTGGTAAAGAAATGATAAGATAAGTAATTAGGTAGAGAACTATTATTATTGCTATGGTAATCCATTATTTTCGATGGTAATTAGTAATTAGGTAGCTTATGCTCTAGCTAAGAAAGTATCGGCTTTTGCAGGTGCAACAATTTGGTGCCGTCGTCTGTAAGACTTTTTTTCTCTTTGATTATGACATGATTTGGTGCAATTGCCCTATTATAGGGCTGTAAAGTAATGTCTTCTTCTTTTTCTTATTAATGAAAAATTTGGGTAAAGGGCCAAAAAAATTCCATTTCCTACGCCCTGAGTACTCAAACGATGCATTTTTAAAAATCCGCCACATCATAATAGATTTTTAGGTATCCAAACAGCCCCTTAGTGAAAATCAAACTCTCTTAAGTTGCACTCAGTCATTTTTAAATTACGAGAAGGGAGTGCATCAAGAGTATTAAATCAAACTCTTCGCAATTTATTCTTAAGGGAAACTGAAAAGATATTTATACAAATAAGAATAACACCAGTATTCTAAAAGATACAAAAATTACTATTTAAACATTCTTTTGTTTTTTAAAAAATTATATATTTTTTATTATTTACATTTTCATTTATTTCCCCTTTCTTAAATTTTATTTTCCAATTTAAACTCTATTTCCCCCATTATTTGGTTATACTGTAGTTTAAACCCGTTATTTTTTTTAAAAAAGGAAAGGTACTGGCCACCAGCCCAATCCATTATGTTTTATTATATTTTGGAGCTTGTTGGAAAATTGAATATACACAATTCTTTATGGTAAAATAATTTAATTGTGTATTTGAGTGCGGTTTATACAAGGCTTGTAGTTGCATATACCATCCACTTACTCCCTCACGTGAAAAACTAAGAAGATTTTTTGGATTGCAAAGTTCGGGATCCACCTAATGAATTGGATTTGGAATTTTTTAAACTCAGATCTAGCTGTCCCAAATTTTGGAGATCTACTATCAATTTTGTGATGTTATTTTTTCAGGCTAAACTTTTTAATTTTTGAAGTTGGTTGCTAGGTTGAAAATAATACATTTCTAAAATTTGAGTCCTAAAAATACTCTTATATCGTGATTTACCTGAGGAAATCCTTATGTAAAGCATCAAATCTTTTTAACTCAAAGTGATTGTTGTTTTATGTTGAAAAACCCTCCAATTGTTCATCTCAACCTCAATGTGTATGAATATGAAAATAAAAAAGATTTTGAGTTCCAAAATAGTGTATCTTGCAGCATATTATCTAGACTGTCTTTTTCAATATTTTCACATATTTATAGACCTATTTGATTTTGACCATTTTTGAACTTTAAAATTTTATGATTAGATTAAAAAATAGATTTTCAGATAATCTTAAAAAAAAATTATGACAAAATTTGGAGGTGCGCCTTGATTGGATTGTTTAAAGTTGCAACTTGCAACCTTATAGAAACCACTTCCTATATTATTAAGCTACAGTTAAGTGGTAGACCCTATCTCGAATAAGGATGTAGGGCAAGTGACTTTCAGTGATAGGCATTTACCCAGTAAAAGACTTCTAAGGGAGAGGCATTTACGCAATAAAAGACCTCTAAAGGGAGGAGTTTAGGTCATCCGTGTGGGATAATGGTTTCTTTGATAGGGCCGGAAGCAGTTATTCAATACTAACTGGTAAATTGGTCGGTTCAACCAGTCTAACCGGGTAAGTCTTAGATCGTAAAAAAAGAAAAGAAAAAATCTAATAAAATATGAAAATTATATTTAAAGCATGATTAAACAAAACACATCCAAATGAAGTTTAAAATTAATGAAAAAAATGGATTTTAAAGAATCTAATTTGTGTTTAGGGGTATTTGTGAAATTTTTTTAAAAAAATGGGAAAATGTCAAGTAAATATTAATGACAAAAACAATTTCCAATCTTTGTCAAAATGATGAAAAATATTAAAAAAATACATTACAAACATAATCCCTTATTTTTTGGGTTTATATATAAGTTTGTTTTGATTTTTTTTTTTAAAACACTTGGCTGGTTCCCCAAAACTGGCCGGAAATGGAACCGGCCAGTTCTAACCGAACGGTTAGGATTTGAACCACCCGATTTTTCCTATACTGGATTCTACTCACAAGATGATCAAGGTCCCTAATAGAACTTGGTGATTCTCACCAAGTTTGATTGACTAGTGTTATGCACGTGCATTGCACATGATATTAAATATAGAAAATCGCATGTTCTGCATTTCCAATGAGATTATTTCATAATATAATTGAATATATTTTTACTTATATTAGTAAATACATTATTTACTTATCAATATAGTATTTGAAAAATTTAAAAATATAAAAAATAAAAAATAAAGAAAATAAAGAAAATAAAAAAAATTAAAAATAAAGAAAATAGAAAGAATTTTAGTTTCCATAATATGTCACATAAACATAAAAATATGACTACAATTATTTTTGTGGTATTTAAGATATTAATAAGTCATAACAGCTTTGGCATCAAAAATAAAATTCTTATTAAATATTCAAGGCTTAAATATGAAATAATTAAATAACTTAATTTTTAAGTTTTATAATCTATGATTTTATTTTGTTGTAATAATTAGGAATGCTAAATATTACTATAAACAAAATAAGGCATTACAATAATTCAAAAGGAAAATTGTATGTAAATTTATATAATGTTTATTATTTTACTATTAAATACATTACTAATATTTGATTAAAAGTTAAAAATAATATACAATCATCATGAATAACACTTAAAAAATATTAACCTACATAAAAAATCAGGAAGAACACCTAAAACAAATATAGAGGTAATGCAAAAAGTAAATAAAAAAACCTTACTACGATTTACTTTTAATATGAATACCTAAAATATACAAACAGAAATAATGGAAAAATAAAAATAAAAGGAATCACTATGACTTATCTTCAATATGAAGGTTGTTCACCTACATTCAAAGGTAAATAATACCTAATACCTGAATAATATTGCAATTGCAAAATTTAGATATTATTTTCTCACAGAGATTTATAAAAGTAAGTACCACGCAAGGCATTTGAGATCCGAGGATCAAACAATTTAACATATCACACAATTAAGCACACAAAATCAATTGCTTTCTTAATCAATAAAAAATTCAATAAAAACTATATCAATATCAGTATACTGTCATAGATATAAAACATTAGACACAAAATAAGGCATTACAATAATTCAAAAAGGCAATTATAACCAAATTTATGTAAAATTTATTATATTACTATTAATTACATTAGTAATATTTGTTTAAAATTTAAAAATACTATACAATAATCATGACACTTAAAAAAGATGAACATACATAGAAATCGAGGAGAACACCTAACAAAATATAAATATAAGACACAAAATAAGGCATTACAATAATTCAAAAAGGCAATTATATGCAAATTTATATAATATTTATTATTTTACTAATAAATACATCAGTAATATTTGATTAAAATTTAAAAATACTATACAAGCATCATGAATGACACATAAAAAATCGGAAAGAACACCTAAAAAAATATATAGGTAATGCAAAAAATAAATAAAACAATGACTTACCTTCAATAGAATACCTAAAAAATACAAAAGCAAATAATAAAAAAATAAAAATAAAAAGAATCTCTATGACTTACCCTCATTCAAAGGTAAATAATACTTGGATAATATTCCAGTTGCAGAATTTAGATGTAAAAAAATAAGTACTAACCATACCCATATAAAATTTCTCGATACTATTTGAAGGTGAGCTTCACTTTGATTGTTAAATCCTTGGCTCTATACAAACCGCACCCATAAAAATTTCTCGAGTTCAATAAATTGCTTATGTGCCTACCTACAACCTCTTTACGGAAGAGCAATAATAGGGTGCGGTTTGTATAGAGCCGATGCTCTAAACAATCAAATTAGAGCCTACCTTCAAATGGTGTCGAGAAATATGGTTTCAATACTGTAAAGTTTTGCGATAGCCTTAAATCATATTCTCATATTTAGTTATAAAATTTAAAGCTTCAGCAATAGTATAGATCGAGCATATCTATGAAAGTCTTGAAAACTGAAGGTCCAAAAATGCATTACAAGATGTACTATTTCCAAAACTTGAAATCCATAGTTTTCTCATGTTCATGCATCTTGATGTCCAGTTGATCAATTTTTATGATATTTATTTCCAAAACTTGAAAACCATATTTTTCTCATGTCCATACATCTTGATGTCTAGATGATCACTTTTTATGATACTTGGACATCAAAACCACCACTTCTAGTGAAAGTTTTGAGGTAGGCTGTAATTTGATTGTTTAGAGCCTAGGTTCTTTATAAACTATTCCCATAATTAGAAAACAAATTACACCCAGTTATTGCAAGGCAATTATCAGCTACTGCCCAGCTATATCTTTTTATTTCTAAAACTAGTAAGGTGCTAAACTGCATAGTTTCACTCTCATATATCACTAGGAAAAAAATTGAGTTGAGAAACTTTAGATCGTTAAAGAAGAAGAAGAAGAAGAAGAAGAAGAAAAAGAAGATAATATCAAGAATAAGAAAGTGATTTTAGGGATGAGATATAAAATAATGGGTTTTGCAGTTATTTTTAAAAAATAAAATTCCGCTCCGGAAAAGAACAAAAATCCATAGAGGACTCAAAATTTGAATGGGGTTCCTATGAGTCAGCCGTCTTGTATTACACATGTTCCCCTC